ATTATTATCATACATATATATATATAATATATGTTACATTATTATACGTTCTGCTTAATTTATGATGTTTATCAACCCATTTGTTCATAGAACCAGTTCTAAATACAGTACCTATTGCCCTCATCCGCCTGTTCCTACTGCGTACTCAATACAAACTGCGTATGATCCGATAGTTCCAGTCGTCTTGCAAGGTTTTAGCCGCCCGGATCCCATACATAGATTGTACTCAACCCAACGACTAAATCCTTATAACGTGTTTGTCTTACCGAGAAGACCTTCCGCCATAACTTCCAAGTCACTACCTATCTGAAGTCAATCGCGTGCCCTCGACTCAATTACTCCCTGCATATCGCTGTTTTATTTGTCACCGACTGTATTCCCACACTTGAAAGTTCCCCTCACAAATAAAACATCGAACTACCGCAGCTAAACGTTAGAAGATTCCAAATCCTATCCAGAGGATTGCGGGTTCGAAGCTCCCTAGAGGTTCTTGGGATGCCGATTATCGCCACGCAGATGAAACAAAAATGCACAACGCTAGCATGAAATCCACGTCAGTGGGGACAAAAAACTTGTTGAGAACTAATTTGGGAATCCACATTCAGTGAAGTCAATAGACCAACGGATGCGCCAGCCTACCTTCTGATTCGATGCACTTATCGGGATACTGCGTACGGACCCCTGGAGCAACTGCTTCAGGGATATTGCCCCACTGGGTTTCAGATGTGGTAGATTGCCGGTGGACTTTTTGGGAGGTGACAGACAGGCATCTAGTCGCATTTGTTGCAGGCGACGACCTGTTTTACCTTTAGGAGACTCACTGATTCCTGAGTTTGCCATATCAACTGATATAACAGCTTCGTGTTGTTCAGGCATCCTGGAGACGGAGGGAATAGATTTGCAGGAATATACAGTGATAAGTAGGGAAAAGGACAGATAGAAAGGTATACAATGGTCATCTGAACGTTCTTTCCAAGGTATAGTATAGCTTATGTTCCGAGTAACCAGATGACTACAGACAATGCATTTCAAAACATGCGCCAAAGTTTCATCAGTAAGTGAGAATGCTGCACAGTTTTCTAAGTTACCCCAACAGTGGGTGGATTTGGTCGAGGACAGCCCACCACAATGATCAACCGGGTGTGCACGGGAAAGCTTTTGAATTCACGATAGATAAAAAATCACATGGCATCGGAATACATTCCCCAATCTCGATGCTTATGAAAAGGACTAACGAATTCTCTCTGACTATCTCCGGCGAACCATGATGAATGAACTGCTCAATGAAGGCTATGACGGTACTGCAGATAAATGACTACTTTGTCAGACTTGGACTGGTTCCGACCCTTCGACAGATCAGAACAACAGGTGCGGGCAACCTGGCAGTATCCCAGCCCTCGTGCAACCTTCGGGTGGCATGGCAGTTAGGTACCGGAAGGGTGCTACAGCTGAACGATTTTTTATTATTATGGACACAATGTTGTCTGATGTGGAGTCACTCACTAATTCGACGACAGTGTCGTTGTGGGAGTGATTAGAGAGCTTCTGTCCCAAGCAAATGCCGTTTCTCAACAGATACATGACTATGGGCTCCGACTGAGAGAGGAAACGTGAATGGCTGATGAATTTTGTGAAGCAGCTCGGACCCATCATCGATAAAAATGACACTCAACCCGGCCCGTCAAATGTTGTCAATCGTGAGAATGCACCCACCATATACTGTCTGATATCAAATAACTTTTTGGGTTGGTCAGCTACTATGGAGGTTTCCTACCAGTAGTGCACAGCTGTCAAGAGCCCTTGAATCAGCTTCTGACAAAGGGGCATCGATGGATTTGGTCAGGCGACTATCAGCTTGCATTCAAAGAGGTGAAACGGCTCCTGCAGTCCGAATTTCTACATACACAAATAAATGCTTCCTACAATCCTCACCACTGAAGGAACGAACCGTTGAGCTGGGGTAGTCACAACCAACGAATTCCCTGGCGGTACGATTGCCCATGGCGTAAGATCACTGGCTCCAGTAGAAAGAAACTACTACTAGATCCAAAAGGGAGTGTTGACCAACATCTTTAGCGCGAAGCCCCAGAAAATACCTTAATTCATGTTTGTGACGGATCACATACCAGTTATGGCCATATTTCGTTCTACGAAATGTACCCCGGTCTACATAGCTAACTGATTGCAACGGTAAGGTCCAATATCACTTGGTCATGTCTTTACCATGAAACAGACCCCAACAGAAAACAATGGACAAGCGGACGTACTGCCACAGCAGCCGTTGCCGTCAAACCAACGACCACTGCTGCGGTGGTGGAGACCATTAACCAAGTGTCGACGAGTTTCGACGTAGTTTACGATACCGTCAAAGATGACAACATACCACAGATGGCTATGTAGTACCAGCGAATCAGCAGGCCAAGAACCTGTCCTTCGGGAGGATTCAGACAGATGTTTCGACGCCGAAGTTCGTTGTCTACTGTTGATGATGGTCTTCATTTCGGTGACCGGATTACCTCACCCACGAAGCTCCGCCGTCAATTCTTGGCTCAATTTCCTAAAGGACGTCCGGAGATGAGGAACACGAAAACCTCCGTTTGCAGCCATGATTATTGGCTGCATCATTGCGTAACAACAATGATGCTGTGTTCCGTACGGCCAAACTTCAAAGTTCACTCGAATATTTGACAATGTTAAGCATCGCCAGTCACTAATTCCGACTTGGGTCTCCACCAGAACAATAACATAGAACAAGCTGGTCGTGGACTGTAGAATAGTTTTGAGTAACCTTGTGAGTAGTCTTCTCCGAAAAATATACTGCAACCTCTCGAATATCATACCAGCTGAAGAATGAGGCAGCCTTTGTATAGCACATTCAGTTGAGCAATACCATAAACGAGAGATTAAGCTGAGATTTAGTTGATTCTGTGATGAAAACCAATAAAATAAATGAAATAATCGCTCAGTTGTAACACGCGTTCGGTACCTAACTGCCACGCCACCCGAAGGAATCACGAGGGCTGAGATGCTGCCAGGTTGCCCAAGCCTAGACAGGGGAAGTCGAGAGGCAGAGGTCAGGTTCGAATCACGGACCTTCCGTTCAGTAAATTAGCGCTCTAACCACTGAGCTATCTGGCCCTAATCGGTGTGCAAATGAGTGAATGTGGCGAACATACTACAATTTAGGTTCACACATAATATAAGGTTGAAGAGAACTACGGGAGCCCCACCTGCATGATAAGTACGGAGAAGTGCGAAACCGACTGTATTCAAGCTGAGTTCTAGCTGAATCGCCCGTCAGAACCAAACTGATACGAAGATGAGTGTATGAGCCGAAGAGTAATACCTAATTACCGAGCTGGTGTGCCCAAAAACGACAATATTTACACGGGAAAAGTTAGACCCCTGGGCACAAGAGAATGAGGACTGAAAAAATTAATTGTTTGGGACTGCTAGTTGGTGTTTCAGTAACCTCAGGAATACATTGCATTTGAAAAGAATTATCAAATGTGGTCAGTGAACGTTATGCGACGTAAGCAATCGCGCCTTCAGATGGTTAAAAAGTTGACTGAATTCATATCGGGTACGGAAATCTTATTTTGAACTAAAGAAATGGGAAGTTAAAACTGCAGAACTCACGTGTGTTCACCTATCCCGTCAGAAGCTTCAGCATCCACAGGAGCTGACAGGCCTGGAACGAAAAACGAAATGCTGTCGAAACCGCTACAATTTCTTCATAGTGCTGCTGCAAGTAACGAGAGGGTTTGGTCGTTTAACTACACGCAGTCAAGCTGGACGTAAGTGGGACGACTCGAACTCAAGTAAGTCGAAGGCGTCTTGGAGAAAATATCTGTCAACAGTAAGCAACGAATCTATGTTGCCCAGATAACAGGGCGGGTGCTATGCTACAAGAGAGATCCCGGAAGGACAGGTGTAACACTGGCGTGATAAACTTGGTTGTCGGAGTCAGTCCGATCACCTTACGGTGCAAGTGAAGGTCTGTCGATGGCAAACACTCCATTGTCACTCTTTGCATTTAGATGTGGGTAAAAAGAGCAAACTTTTGTCTGGCAGAAAGCCCATTTGGTCACGCTGTTTGAGTGGTAGAGCTGTGTCTAGCTGGAGAGACCAGTCCCAAAAAAAGATAACTTTTATTTAAATCATTCTGGTTTATTTCGACAGTGACTTCCTCTCAGAGAAAAAACTCCTGGTAATGGCCTCTCAAGAGGGTAGTATTTGCTTGCTGACAAATTTGAACAGAACCGTGTGTAGTTACTAGGCGACGAGGAAAAAAATACAATAACTGGATTACACAAACATTCGCAGAATCGGTCAATGACTCAAAACTTGGCCCTTAAAATAGCTTGACCGTAGGCTGTCACCCTGAAGTGGTCAGGTTGCAGTACTGCAATGACCTCATGAATTATGCTGGCTGAAAATCTGTCCACGAAGGCCGAACAGGAACGGCCATACATGACAGTCCTGTGCTACGAGTACTCGCAACGTGAAGTAGTCTGGGGGTAAAGTGGTACTGCGACAGCGGTGTGAATTTAGTAGACTGTTCCCACGGAGCGAACAAGAGTTCACATTAATGGAAATAGCGGTGTTAATTCCCCCTGAAGAAGGACGAGTTAGAAGGGTTCAGCACCATGACTGAACACTTCCACTGCCCAGTGGCTGACTGTGAACGCCAGCAAATCATCCAATACAGTCGAACTACGACTAAAATTTACCATCGGCTACATGTGATTCAAAACGTATCTGGTATTACTCCTTGCAGCCTCGGGCTAGTCCATCCTCCCACAGTCAAGCAGACCAGAATATCGGGTCAGTGTCTCCGAGCAGTCATCATCATCGACAGCATGGCATCAGTGTTCAACACCGACGCTTTGCTGCGGTCAGCCGTGATTAATTTGAAAGCCTTATTGTGAAGAAAGGAATAAAGGTAGACATGGAAAGGGATTTAGTGCTAGCTTACTACAATCATTCCGAGGTGCCTACAACTCCAGACACTCATTCAGACAATCTGGATAGAAACTGACAAGATCGCTACTGACATCGGTTGGAAACCCTATCTTGCAGCATCTCCAACCAGGCGCAGTGGGATCACGCAGTCCCGATCCTTGAAGGTGAGTAGCAAAGGTAGCACCCAAACGTTACGTAGTTTCATTCATACACCTGTGCGAGGTAAGGGTTGGTCACCACTCTGCTTCTGTCAGTGTGAGTTTGTTATGGAAAAAAAAGCACTCTCTTCGACGAAAGATGGTACGGCGTACGCAACACATGTCCAAACTAACTCAGCTTCTGGTTCTGGATAAATCCTTCAATGGAAGTACCTGTTGCACAAACGAAATCTCGCTTTCTAATTGCCTCGTTACGGATTCACCGACCCACACGAGCTACGGTCTTGAGACAACACCTGAAGACGTTTCAGTTCCGCTGTCCGAACGGGCCAAGTCTCAGCCATACAACAAAACAGTCCACACTGTAGCTTGATACACACGCCCCTTGAGATTAAAGGACACACCGCTTTGACGCCATGGGTGTCTCAAATTATCAACCGCAACCTGAGCCTTGCAGATTCGTGCATTGACCTCATCTATCACACTACAATGAGAACCAATACAACTCCCAAGATATGTAAAACGCCCCCTGGATTGCAAGTGGCGTGTTCAGCGACTACACGTCAAGGAACATGACCTTACACTTTTTGGGTCATACCAAAGGACGGGATGACTTTAGTCAGTTTATCCAAAAGTAGCTGCGCCTTCTCCTCCTCTTCGAAGACGAGGAACCAGCCGCATCGATCAACTGCAATAGTCTTCGGACACTGCAAGCCTTCTGGGCCTCTTCCATTTCCTTGGCTTTCTCTGTTCACCACACTTCACGGTCGACTGGAGTTTGCGACCGGCAAGCCGTCTGAGGACACCATCAGGCAAGATGACTTAAGCTATTTCGGAACTTAGTACTGCATAAAAACAGACTGCGATCAGCACACAGCTGAAGAAGTCGTGAATTCATATCTTCAGCAACTACCACCAATCTGAGCTCATCGCAACAGGGCATTCAGGGAGTCGTAAAACCTGTGTTTTACGGCATCAGAGCTACAGTCAGCTGGTACATGAGCAGACACGATAAACAAACATCGATCAACTTCTCACTTGTGAGACTCATTCACAAACGCTGACAGATGAACCGCACAGATGCGACTATCAACAGGTATCCGGTCACACAGTGAAGAATCGGTGTTGAACACTGATGTCATGCTGTCGATGATAATGATGATGATGATGATCTAATCACGCAAAGATACTTCCACCCCGTGACTTAGCACGATACCAACCCCTGCACATCCTGCCACAGCAGCCTCTGGATCACCAAAGGCGCATAGCTGGAGTGGAGACTGATTTGGGGGGGGGGGTAGCTCAACTACTGTGATTGCATTTTGAATTCTTGTTGCCGAGACACACCACACATCAATGCCAAGCAAGTCCAGTGTGGAAGCAAGAGCGGCTTGTTGTCCTGCTTGCTTCAAAATGAGGATATTGAAGGCGGCCAGATAGACTGAGCGTCGAGGCTTGAAGATTGGTTTGGAGATACCTGAAGATGTCGGCATCATGTGACGAGATGTTGCATGCAAAACCGATGCAAGACGAACGGAGTTATCAGTTCTAAGTGCTGGGCCTACAAGGAGAGAGTTTTTAATGGGGTGGAAAGAGGGGGAAGAAAAAGTACGTGAAAGAAAAAGAAGAGAGGCCTCGACAGTAGTCTGTTTTCGCCTACCCGCTCTGCTGTACGCAGCAGGTAAGGCGACCCGGCTGATGGCACCATGCGACGGCCGATGTGGTATGAGAGTATTGTTAGCCGTGGATGTCATGGTTGTACGAGGACTGGGCGCCCACACCTAGACAGGAGGAATATTAGGGTCCCAAACCAAAGCCTTTGGCTCAAAAGCCTAACCGCAAGGCAGCATTGTTTGGCGGGAACAAGTGGCCACATGCTCTAGCCCGCAACCTGGAGGACCAGGAGATTATGTTTGTTAGACCTTCAACCATTGACCAACCTGGTATAAGAGACTCTGTGAGTGTCGCGAGGACATCACCTGGTATAGTTCAGTGGGTCGCTGAGGTGCGCAAACCGTCACACCACGATAAGACCCAGTCTCTTCGTGACAGCAGGGTCCCCAACAAAACCAACGTACCCATGGTAGGTCGTTAATGGCTGATTAACTGAAGCTCAAGGTGTTTAAGACACTGAACTACTAATGTGCAACAACTATTGATAAAAGCAAGTGGATATAACATAGAAATTTCATTTCCTAATTCGGGACTCCTGTGGTCCAGGCTCTCGTGGGACACCTTTTCATTAGGAAACCCTTCACAAAAGAATTATCAGGATCAGCACTCCGATATGGCTGAGTCTTGAAAGAATGCGTTTTCCTACCAGCATCATCCTGTACAGCCGGGACAACGAGTATCCGCCGTTGACCTACGCCTCCCGTCCGTCCGGCATATAGTTGAAATTGTTGCCATGGCAGTAGACGGTTCAATTTGATACTGTTCAAAACAAGACGAAAGGAAAGGAAGTGTAGTGAAACTGTAACCATAATCCATGGATTGAACACGAATGTTGTTCATGCGTATGCAGCTGAGAATGTCATACAGTTTTTGATACTACTGATAAGCAGTTCGCGACAAAAGAGTGTGAGGACTAGATTACGTTTGCGTAGAGATGCACTTCCATTAACTTAGATTTGCAAGTCGTAGCGTCTTCCGATCACAGAGGCTTAGCTGAAAACACACAGTCGGAGTGAGCTCGTATGCCGAATGCCCGAACAACTTTGTAGGAAAAATCAAACCATTCAGCAATGACACCATTCCGGTGCACGAGGGTCGAGATACAACCAGGTCGTACATTCCTAAGTAAGACAGGGAGAATGGAGAGCGGACGCCTCGATGAATGGATCGTGCTTCAGCGCTCGAATGATCTCGGCTCACTTTCGTGAAACTACAGCTGGACACTCCAACGTCATACTAGGACAGAGCCAGCACTCGCCGCTCTCGGTTAACTTGGAAATAGAATTTAAAGAAGCCAAACCATTCCGCCGTGGTATGTAACGAGAAGGGAGTATGAGAGCTGAAATATTTTGAAACGTAGTCTTATTACTTAAAGCTGATCCGTAAGTTGTGGACAACGACTGAGCTGGAGAGCCCGTCTCCCCACATAAGATGTGGGCAGTCGCTGGTGTCCAATGGATGGCTAATCGTGTGGGTTGTCCCACAGCGTTGTGGTTACTTTATTGTTTGGTCACTATTTGCTCCTTCGAAATGATTAGAGGGTGTCTTAATGGTGAATATACATAAATCCAAACACCGCTCAACTTTTGCACACGATGGCCGCGTTTGAGTACGGAATACAACCTACAAGAAAGCGAGGTGAAGGAGAGAATTTACAAACCTCTAAGTAGGAGATCGGTACTCAGAACCACTCGACAACTTCCATGTGTGTAATTGTATGTGCGTTCGGATGGAAGCCATCCAACTGGGAACCAAAAACGATCCTAGCCTAAATTTCCGCCGATGTATGGAAATGTACAAGAACTCAGTGATTGGTTTAGCATCAGAACCGACTGTCAATTTCTTTAAACCTTACAATTAAAGAATCACTGGAGGCTGGAAGATTTTATACCTCTCGGAGGTTGTATCAGCTCGGACGGAAATGTGTCTGATGAAGTCAGTGCAAGAATCTCAGAAGCTCAAATCACGTTTGCCAATTTGCGCCACTTGTGGCGTCCAAAACAGATATCACTAGACCATAAAGTTCCCATGTACCAGGCTACAGTAAGGGTTGTGTTGTATGGGTGCGAGACGTGGCCTGCGCGGACCATTAATGTGAAGCGTCTTCAGGTTTTCTTTACCACCAGTGTTGCTGGTTATGAATGGCGTCAACGTGTTAGTAACGATGTGATTGGAAAACGGTTATCTGATTGTGCGGCAGGTGCTTCAATCGGGGAAAATTTCCAGCAACACCGACTGCGATGGCTCGACCATGTGAAACACATGCAGAAACGCCGTCTACCGAGATGAGTGTTGTTTTCCGCGCCTCCTTCAGAGTGGCGCAAACCGCGAGGTGGAAAACACATGACTTGGCAGAAGGGCGTGAAAGAGATCATGAGGAGTTTGGGCAGTGTTGGTGTTGTACGCCTTCCAGGAGGGGGCGAGATGGCTCAAGTGGTTAGAGTGCGAATTTACTGACCGGAAGTTCCGTGGTTCGAACCCGGCCTCCGCCTCTCGACTTCCCTTGTCTAGGCTTGGTCAACCTGACAGTATCCCAGCCCTCGTGCTTCCTTCGGATAGCATGGCAGCTAGGCACCGAAAGGGCGCTACAGCTTAAGGGAACGCCTTCCAGGATGGGGGTCTCCGTGACCCCGTCTGTGCTTGGCTGGAGATGTTGCAAGAAATGGCGGCTAATCGATGTCCGTGGCATTCGTGATGTCAGTTTCTTTCCAGATTGTCTGGTTGAGCGCTTGGAAGTGTAGGCACCTCAGAATGCTTGACGTAGGAAGGCACTACGTCCCCTCCCTCATCCATTCTTTTCCTCTCCTTTTCACTTTTGGGCTTTAAATATAATTAAACGAGCCTTACGGTTGTACGGCAGTGAAGCATCAGTGCCAACACTGATGTTGTTGTCTCTGTTGATGTGGTATTTTCGTTGACAGAGTAAAACGGCATCTCCCTCAAAGAATAGCCCAACGTATTTCAAAGTACTTCATACCGATAAGTTGCCAGTCAGCCATATGGAATCCAGCAACACCAACAGCAAAATATTCACTGATAACAGTTAACCTGTTTGTCATCCACAACTCCGTTGGGCGATCAAACACTCCAAACGCTGCCATTCAGAGAAGCAAATTGGCTAAGTTGGGATAACATATTCCAACTTCAAAACTAAATAACTGGGGGACTGTCCATTGGTCCACTTGGTGTTAAACAAGACCGGTATCATGATGAACTCCCTCCCAAATTACTTAGATCATGTTCAGCCACTTTGGGGCAGACTTGCAGGTTAGAAGCTTTACCTGAAGACTTCCAATGAAGCAAGCGTTTTACTCGGCTTCGGAAACGAATAAAACAACCGGCAAAGCACGCCTAGGTTTGATCATTTGTGATGGTGAAAGCAAGAACACCTCCGGTCATGAAGTAAATATCAGTAATTTCGCTTACCTTTCCATAATCCACGCGCTGGAGACGATCTTTTGGTCAGTAAGTTTGTTCACTTTCCCCATTGGAAGCCGAGTCGCGATTATGTGTGTAACCCTTGAACGACTATAGTAAGCACTATATTGCCCGCCATGTGCACGAATCAAATCACGCAGTTCGAGTGCGGGAGGATCTACAGTCGCAAAGCGAACAGGAAACTTGTCATCCGTGGGTCAAGGTGCAGTGTGAATTCGATGCATGACCAAGTTATGGTACCACACATAGGAAAGTAAAGGATTAACGGTATGAAAAAAAAAACACAATCAAAAAGGGCGATAAAAGAAACGAGGCACTACCTGTGTATCCGTTGACGTAGATAGAAACCCCATGGAATATATCGGATTGAAGAGCTTCCTTTTCGGGGCGGAACTGATTCTCCAATTTAGATTTCTTTGCTCGCATGTAACCTCCCTGAGGAAAACCACAGAGTTTAGAAGAATAGTGTTTGGCGAAACGCTTGATACAACAACTCGAAATTAACAGTGCTTGGAACAGTTGACGCAGGGACTATCGGAACAGCTTCGGTGAAGAAGAATGGCCAGCGGATACATGGTTTTCAGTCTCAGTCCCTACATGGTCACGTGACCGATCATTATACACCAATCTGAAGAGAGCCTGAACTCTTCAGGACCGTACATTTTTATTAGCATGCAGTTAATTCGAATCCTATTGTTCCGTGATTAGCAGATCGTCCGTCAGGAGCAACCGCTAGTTGAGATCTGACCATTCAATGACTCAGTCAACAGCTAGTAAGAAGAGAGGAAACCTTCCAAAGGTCCATCAGTGCGAAAACGGATCATGTATTTCCTGTAGTTATCACTTAGAAATAGACACACGGTGTTTGATATGCCCAGCAGTTTCAGATGATGCTCGGTGTAGGAAGTTAGAAGTGGAGTGAAGTAAACAGGTATCTGGCATCTCTCAACTGAACTGCTGATTGCGTGCTACATTTTTTCAAAGACGCCGATAAGTTCTTAAAGGAAACCCGTAACAAGGTTGTTGAAAACTTTTTGACGGCCAACGACTGGTTTTGTCCTTCTTGCAGCTTATCAGGTAGGCGCGGTCTCCTAGTTTCCGCAAACTTTATGTTCTACTTGAATCCAATCTGTACGAAATTCGAAAAGTACACTCATTTTTATATCAGTTTGGTTCTCACGGAAGACGCAGGTGAATCTCTAGTTTTTAGTAATCTTGTGAGTAGTTTCCTTCGAAAAATTTACTGCGACATCTCAAATATCATGCCAAATGAAACAGCTGAAGAGTACCATAAGCGAGAGATTCAGCTGAGTCTCCCGTGAAAACCGAATTAGTATGCAAATGAATGAACTTGTCGAACGCCGACAAGTTGTTCAAAAGAAGGATAAAAGTTAACAAAAGTACGGTCTATGTGGAAAGATCCCAGCACGCGTTATGATTCGGAGCGTGAAAAAGTACGTATCCTACCTGCTCGGCCCAGCCATTGTCAATGCTCTGCCTGATTGTCCCAGTATGCATTGATTGCAGAGATCTGTAAACAAAAAATCAAACATCATTGATAGAATCATATTACGTACCTAGCATATCGTTTCGTTGTCGACATTTTGCCATGCCAATATTAGCCGTGGGCATGTATATTTAAGGTGATTCTCTATATAGGGGTTTCGTCTCGTTCAGCTGTAGCACCCTTCCGGTGCCTAACTGCCATGCCACCCAAAGGAAGCACGAGGGCTGGAATACTAACAGGTTGCCCAAGCCTACATAGGGGAATTCCACAGGCAGAGGTCGGGTTCGAACCACAAACCTTCTGGTCAATGAATTCGCACTCTAACGACTGAGCCATCCCGCCCCGCTTCGTCTACTGATGGCGTGAGAAACGGGTGGGGTGTACTTCGCAATAGCTGGTATGGTCGGACGACGAATTCGGAGGCTCTGGGTGTTTGCTTTTTAGCGGAGAGGGTAAAATTTATACAATGAAGGTAACAACATGGATGCATGTGCTACCGCGTACGATTGACATCGCTTCTAACAAATGTGACCTGCTTCGGGGTTCCCATCTATGGAGGTGGCGATCGTCAGTGCAGTTGAGACCTCACAATAAGGCACTCATATTATGCTACCACTGTTCAACTTTCGGCGCATGGTTTCTGCGCCACCCAATGAAGCACTGGACTGAGATACTGTCAGGTTACCCAAACCTAGACAGGAGTGGTCGAGATGCAGAAGTCGGATTCGAACGACGAACCATCCGGTCAGTAAGACTGCGTTTTAACGATTGAGCAATCTAGAGCTCATCATCATCATCACTAGACAGGAGCGAGATGCAGAAGTCGGATTCGAACGACGAACCATCCGGTCAGTAAGACTGCGTTTTAACGATTGAGCAATCTAGAGCTCGCTCACATCATCACTGTCAGCTGTAAGAACCGCGTACTCGTCGTACACTGGTTGTAGCTGCCACAGTTTCGTTCACCGATGATTGGGGGGGGGGTAGGTAGCTGCGCATTGCGCGCGTGAGCTGGTAAATTGGTGCATAAATCCAGCACTGTCAGTGGGTTGTCAAGCGGGGGGTGGAAAAGGAGCTATGCATTGAAGGCAATAGCTTTGATGCATGAGTGCCATTGAGGGCGCGACTGGGCCATGTCTGATAATGTCACTAGCCATTGATGTGGCCCGTTTCGGAGTCCCCATCTAGGAAGACGGCAGTGACCAGCGCAGCTGAGTTTGCTGGTAATGGCTTTCATACTTCGCTGCCAAGTCATTGTTTGACCGCCTCTGGCTCTCTTCCACCCTTCACATGGTTGGGCGAAAAGAGCCCTTCGAGGAAGTCGGTCGACTGGCATACACAACACGTGGCCAAGCCAACGCAACCTGTGCAGTGTGATCAGTTCATCTATCGAGGGTGAGTTATTTCTCCCGAATACCATTCGACGTACTTCAGAATTGCTGATCCGGTGTTCCCACCAGATTCGGGCAATGCTCCGAAGACATCGATGGTCAAACACAGAAAGTCTTTTGACGTCCTTGGCGCGCAGCGGCCATGTTTCTGATCCATATAGTAATATGGAGCGCACCGAGGCATTATAAACTCGACCCTTGACAGAGAAGCTGATGTCATGCCTACGCCACGGGTGACGTGGGTTCGCAAAAACTGTTCTGGCCTTCCCAATGCGGATGGAAATATCATCTTTCGTGAGACCACCGGGACTGATACAGCTGCTCAGGTAAACAAATTTGTCTACTACCTCAATCGGTTCATCCGCAAGCATGAGGCTAGGGTTCGAGCCCACCCAGTCTTGCAGTAGCACTTTACACTTTGCAGGTGTGAAGCGC